AAGAAAGTGATAAATTGGTGAAGGCTGCCAAAGAAAGCATGGAGAGAGGCAATGGTGGCACACACCTTTAATCCAGTACTGGGCAGAGACAAGCAGATCTCTGGAGTTTGAGGACTGCTTGATCTACACAGTGAGTTCCAGGCCAGTCACGGTTACACGCTCATCTTACAACAATAAAATAGTCCACAGGTAAACAGATGTGATGAATTTGATTCTAATAACACTTTTGTAAATTGTGAACAATGTGACTGGTTTCATTATAAAAGGATACTGACACGCCACATGGGAAATCCTAAATACTTTTATTAGAAAAAAACCTAATGTTGACTTGAGGAAATGCGTAATCACAGTCAAAGTAATTATCTCTGTTCCTCAGCCTGTTGCACCACAACATTCCAGGAGCCTATCGAAGGAGGCAGGGGAGCCAGGGGTGGTGGTCACAAGATGGTGGCCTCACAGACGTACCCCTGCACTGTCTCACTATATGACAGCAGGAAGAGAGAAGGACCCCGCAAGAATGACCCCTCAGATAGACGACACAAAAGTACTTGCTTCAGCTACCTCACAAGGGAGGTGACCGGTGTGCACTATGCCTCCTAACCAGGAGGGACAAAGGAATTTAGAGAAAGTTGTGAAAACATTTGCGCTTCAATCTGCCAAGAATTTAGAGCGCTGCAGACTGTGACATATATTAATAATCAGAGTTCTGCACAAAAGCAGAAGTGGGCAGCTTTTTTCCAAAAACTGCTCTCTCTCTAGTCTCCTGGCAAGAGCGGTCTGTGCAGGCAGCACAGGAAGTCGCACGACCTGGTTAAGACACGAGAGTCAGATGAGGGATCCTGGCCCCACATTCCTGTGCATAAGAATCCTAGAACAGTTTTCTGGAAAGAAGACCAACACACTGTTCCAGAGAAAACAGCAGAAAACCCCAGTTCTGGTAGATCTGTTAGAGGTCAGCACAGATCTTATGCCAGAGTATCTCTGCTTTCTTTCTAGCTGAGAACATATGGATGGATGGGCTGTAGAACATGAACACCCCCAGTTCCACGGTGCATACTCACGTCTTCTTTTTTCTTAGTTATTACAGCAAATACTTTGGTCTGATTGTCTGCATCTTGTGACAAGCGATAATGACCCAGCAGAATTGCATCCGTTCTAAGAAATAATAAATGTACCTTAAATCAATCAGTTATACTTACTGGAGTAATCTAAAAAACTGAGTTACACCACCACTTACTCAGGAATCTGCAAAGGGTTACTAGAATGAGAATGAACTTTTCCTCCAAAGCCCCAAAGCTATTATACAGGCTGCCCAGGGAAAGGCTTCTGGAGACTGATTCCCCCAGCGCTGTGCCTGCTTTTTAAGTCATGCATTATTAAGAGGAGCACTGCCTTAGGTTAAATCTGAAAATACGGACTGGCTAGAAAGCTATGTAAAAACACTACCTGGTGTTCCTAGTTCTTAAACGGGGAACAATGGACTGAGGCTCCTCGGGGGTTGTCAACATCATCACATGGCCATCAGGAAAGAATCTTATGTACCTACATAAAAGAAAAAACACCAAACACCACACACACAATATAAAATATGCCCTTAGTTTGCAGGACCCACACTTGGTCATAGCTGTGAATATAAGTGCATATAAGAACTGGGGTTTTCTGCTGTTTTCTCTGGACCAGACTGAAATACCATCAGCAAAGCACCGCTGAGACAGGAGAGCACACAGGACAAGTCAGTCTACAGGAGAACGAAGGCATTCTACAAACTTCCCTGGGGCTCTGCTGACCTTTTCGTTTTACTCACTGAACAAACATTAAACTTGGCTCTTCTCTTAAAGTTCCATGTTTTCCTGAGGCACTAATTAACGCCTGACAAAGTGAGACCCAATAATTAATATACAATGACCAGCACTATTCTCCTTATTCTCAGCAGCGGTCACATGTGGTAAGCACTAAGGCTGGGACAAGCCTTACATGTTATAATCGTAACAGACAAAAAGGGCTCTGGACTGTAACTAGGGGCTGGAGGGATTATAACATTTATGTTAATCTTTTGGTTTTAGAATGCAGTTCCTGTCATAATACTGGATAAAAATACTGAGGATCATCTTGTGGATAAATCATAAGCAATAGAAAACAGACAGAATAACTAAGGAGCTAATACTTGAGAGAGTTCTCCACTCACTCATTTTACAACAGCTGTACCTGTAGTATTCCACTTGGTGCCAGGCTCTATAGAAACCATCCAGAGACTGCTCTCCCTGGCGGATATATGTGGTTTTACTGATGTACACACCTAGAAAAAATAAACAGTTGTTTTAAAGGTACATACATACATAAAAAAAGTACATGCATACAATTTAAGTCAGAATCATATAACATAGTGTTGTTTCTTTTAATTATGCTTATATGCACTTAGGTCCATTACAGAAAATAAAAACTTTGTTTTATCAAAATTAGCACTACATACCATGATTTCTCCTGAGTTCTTGAATCCAACTTACCATCAAAGCGAACACGAGGCCGTTCTAAAAACATCTCTCTCCAGGACGAGTATGGGACAAGTTTCATACAGCTTCTGCCCCACACTTTCAAGCAAGCCAGACGCCATATTTCAGGGTCTCTAGGTAAGAAAGTATATCACCGGTAAGTGTAAAAGCTAAGTCCTTAGAAGCAGTGAATATTCTGACTACCGTGTATTTCTTTTGAATTCAACAGTTATTTGTTGAGCACCATTAGATACTGTCTCAAGGGGTAGGCATAGACTGACAGATGGGGTGCAGACCTTTTGTTGACTGGTGAGAGGAAATATTCCGGTCAAGTGCTCAGTGTAAAATTCAACCACAGAAGTAGTTAGATAGGAATGACACTGTTCAAGAAACTGGCCCTCTGGACAGGGTGACCACAGGGACAGGAAGACTATCCTGGCAGGTGGTCCATGCAAGTTTTGGGATGAAGTGTGAATGATGGGCTCCGCAAAGAGCAGGAGCACAGGCTGCAGAGGTGAGCAAGCTGAGCAAGGAAGAGGAGGAAGCCTCTAGCAGGAGAGTGCCGATTCCCAAGAGATGCATGCCACTAGAAACTTGGAGCACGACTATGCTTTCTAAGGACAGCTCTGAGAGAAATGGAATAAAGAAGGGTGACAGAATCTGAGACAGCATCAACAAAGCAGTCAAAACAACAAAGGATGATAAAGGGACAGAAAGCTGATTTAAAGAAGTAACAGAAACTTCCCAAACCCAGAAAAAAACAAATACCCAGGAATCAAGAAGAACAAAGGATCTTAATCAAATACAACCAAAATATGACAAAGGGAAGTCCCAATGTGCCTAGCAACAGTCTTCCAACAGGAACTTCTACTAAAGGTCAGGGGTCTGGGGTGACCCATTCGAAACCCTGAAGGAAAAATAACTGCTAAGCAGAGATGAAGGACCCAAGAGAGCTGGAGAGCGCCCCTGTCAGGACTGCCACAGAGAATCCAACAGCAAAGGGAGACTGCATTCCACTGCGGGCTGGGGGAGAGCTCTGCAAACAGCCAGCTGGTGGCAAGCGCTCTGAACAGAAGGGTAACGTGGAGGTGAAAGAACTGCAGTTCCGGTGCGGCTGCCGGGGACAGGTTTTCAGGGCCGAATGCTGGGGACAGGTTTTCAGGGCCGGCTGCCGGGGACAGGTTTTCAGGGCCGGCTGCTGGGGACAGGTTTTCAGGGCCGGCTGCCGGGGACAGGTTTTCAGGGCCAGGTGCTGGGGACAGGTTTTCAGGGCCAGGTGCTGGGGACAGGTTTTCAGGGCCGGCTGCCGGGGACAGGTTTTCAGGGCCGGCTGCTGGGGACAGGTTTTCAGGGCCGGCTGCCGGGGACAGGTTTTCAGGGCCGGCTGCTGGGGACAGGTTGTCCTTGCGCTGCCAGGAAAAGGAAAGTGGCTCAGTGCTGGCAAGAGCAGCTCAAGAGCAGGCTGGCAGCTCTAACTGTCTCACGCCCGGGGGTGAGGCTGGGGATTGAACCCAAGGGCTTGCGCATGCTAAACTATATACAGGGGTTTTCATCACAGTTCCAGGAGCTGGCTGGTCTAGGAGTGTCCGCCCTGCTCCATGAGGAGACTCACATTCCCTAACGGCCGAATCCAAGCTGCTCCAACAGCAGCCAATGTTGGATACGCTTCAGCCTTAGGGGCTAGCAGAACCTCTTCTGGTGCCGGCAGAAGCCTTGGGCTTGAGGCCTCATGGCCAGTCAGCATATTCAGATCACTAGATGGCACTGCCACAAGCTGGAGTCCCACCTGCATTTCCCTGGGGAATCTGGGAAGGTGCCCCTTTGGCTCCCTTTCTTGGGGAGCTGCTGATACGGGCCCAGCTTTACCCGTGTCTGTCCACCAGAAGGTGGGAAGGTCCTTGCCACTTCAAGCAGCTCTACAAATACTACCAGAGTTCCACCACCTGGTGCCATCCGCACTCTGCGGGAATGGGCAAGGTTTCTTCTCCAGCCTGTTACCTTGAGACTAGCTAGCTGTGAGCGCCAAAACCCAGCATCATCCACCACCACTGTCTCTCAGAACCTGGGAAGAAACCTGATCCACTTCCACCCTAGGTTTCCCAAAGGCCTGTGTGTTTACAGCTTGACCCTCAGATTATAGGGCTCCTGGGAGGGGACAGAAGACTGTGTTAGGAGGTAGAAGCCATTGTTGTATTCCAGGGCATTACAGCATGCCCTTGAAAGGATTAAGAGGACGCTGGTTTCTTCCTATCCTTTCTTACCAGCTACCATCAGGTCAACAGCAGCCTGGGCCAATATTCCAAACCATTATGATCTGCCTTGCTGCAGGCCCCGAGGCAACTGAGCCAACAGAGCAAAGCTAAAACCTCTGACACCATCACCCGAATAAACCTTTGAAGTTGTTTTCCTCACCTATTGTCCGTGACAGACACCACCACAGGTCCATCTATGCCCATAGCTCTAGAAACCCAGCTCTTAGCACCCCAAATCTGTCACATGCACACGCCTCCCCAGAGAAGACTAGGAAAGGCCTCCTCCCCAGTCCACAGCCTTAGTACCACAGTACCCAGCCTATCTTACTCATGTCCTGCAGTCCAAGACTCTGACTACCGACGCTTGCCCCACAGGGCCTAGGGACATTTTATCCACACCCTGCAGCCAACAGATACCAAAACCACAAGCCCCTGAACCATGGACACTCAACCCACAGGCCACCACATCCAGGATCCCCAAGAGTGCGGACACAAGCATCACAAACCCAACTCTTCCCTACACCTGCCCCACAAGGTCTGTGTACAGGGACCACAGTTGCTGGCACCAAAAGGTCACTTGTACCTGTCATTTGAGACCGGGTTCCCATAGCTCCTGAAAAGCGGCTGTCAGAGGTCCAAGTCCCAGAGCCACCCACAACTGTCCATGACAGAGAAGATGCCCTTTGCATCCTGTAACTTCTGGTGTTACTGATGCCACAGACACCACCATCAATTTGGTTTTTATCACATGGGAGCTAGGCAAGGTGACACCCTACCACATGGCTCCCAAAACTGGCCACTGGCACAGAAGTCCAGGCATTTCCCCCATTTATCCCAAGAGTTGTGACAAGGTCTTTTTCAAATCCTACAGGTCAGGGACCATAGCTGTGGGCATCACAGTCCTTGGTATTACTTGTGCTTGTCATGAAGGACCTAAGGATAGTCCTCTTGACATCTCATACAATCGAGACTATGGTAGATGCTACCATAGATCCCAATGGAGCTTGAAGACACATGAGTCTCTGGAAGTCTGTGGCCATTGTAAAGTTATATAATTCCTGTATGAATCACTGTAGTCTAGACTATTCAGGCACTCGGAGACATTACTAACATCAACCAGAGCCAAAGAAATCAATCACAGAGATGTTATACATTTAAGCTCCCTTCTAACCAGAGCCAAAGCCCATAGCCTTCCAAGAAGTACAGGAAACGAAAACAAAAGGAGATGAAATTACTTCAAAATAAGGTTTCTTTCTGGGTCGACGAGATGGCTCAGCAGGGATCAGCACTTACTGCCAAAACTGAGGACTGAGTTTGGTCCCCGGGACCCAGATGGTGGGGGAGAATGCTGATTCTGTGAGTTGTCTCTGGTTTGCACATGCATGGCAAATGCATGCCTGTATACATGTACACACGAAACTCATAATTAAAAATAATAATTTAAAAGGCTTCTTTTTGCACAGCAAAGTAAACATCTAACAGCATGCAGAGATAACCAACAGAATGGGAGAATATGCACCTGACAGAGTTGACATTTATAAGTCATTTATAAGAAACTCTAAATACTCAATAGCAAAAAACAAAACAAAACAAAACAAAAAAAAAACAAACAAAAAACAAAACAAAACAAAAACCCACCAATAACCTAATTAAAACATGAGCAATGAATCTAAACAGACACTTCTCAAAAATAGGTATTTTGAGGATGAACAGGGACATGACAAAAATGTTCTGTACCACTGATCAGCAGGGAAAGGTAAACACAACATTGGTATCACATACTCCACTAACAATGTCTCTAAGAACATTAATTAGTACAGCCATACAGGTTCCTCCAAAGATGAAAACAGGGCTGCCACATGCTGCAGCAATCCCAGCAGTGGGGAGGCATGCAAAGGAAGTGAAGTCAATGTGTTAGAGACATCTACGCCCCACTTCACTGCAGCACTATCACAATAGATAACAACTAGAAAGGAGGATGCCTTTAAAAACGACAGCGAATACACACACTGCAATACTATTTGGACTTAAAAAGAGTAAAATCCTCCAATTTGTATCAACTGGGATGGAACTACAGATCATTAAGTTATGTGAAATGCCAGTGACAACTGCCACCTATCTCTCTCGTTATGCAGGATCTATTAAAGATGAGAGCGCATCAGCGTCTATCTGCTTAGGTCATGGGGAAGAGGAGTGAAGGGGATGGCAGGGGAGGGGCTTGTCAACGGCACTAAGTCACATTAGGGCAGGAAGCGCCAGTGCTCTAACACAGGAGTGGGCATAAATGTCAGTGTGCTGTGTAGTTTGAAAAAGTACACGGATTCTGAACTGCCACCATGAAGAAAGAAATAGGCCAGATATGGCGCCATACGTCTGTAATCCTAGCACTCCAGAGGCTGAAGCATAGGGATTCTGGATGAGAAGACAACCTGAGCTATATAGTGAGTTCATGGCCATCCTGAGCTATGTAGCAAGGCCTAGTCTCAATAACAGTGCTAAGATGTAGTTTTATAAAGAGTGCTTGCCTAGTACAAAAAACGGAAGTAAATATGCTTAATGTGATTATACATTATGCAATATATATATATATCACACATTATACAGTACCATTAATACAGAAATGTTTTACCTTTTTATGCATTAGCTAAAAAAATAAATTTAGGTGCATGCTTATAAAACTAGGACTGGGAGGCTGAGTCAGGAGGACTGTTTTGCATTTGAGGCCTCCTGGGCTACCCAGTCAGTACCTGGCCAAACAGGGCTACCTTGCCTCAAAACCCAAAACAAATCAACAAACTCTTAGAAACAAACAGTTCTGTTCCCATTGGAACTGCCCTTCAGACATGAGGAAGATAAAGCTGTTTCCAGAGAAACAAGCTGCCCCAAAGTTATCACCATCATACCTATGTCAGGAAATACCAGAAGGAGTTTCCTAAGATGAAAGAAAACAGTACTGATAAATAACACAAATACCTCAAGCTTAAATAAAAATGTAAACTACCAACATCAAGAATTTAAATAAAGGGGCTAAGAGTACTGGCTGCTCGTGCAGAGGATCTGGATTCAGTTCCCAGCACACACATGGCAGCTCACAAGCATCTGTAACTCCAGTTCTAGGGGATCCAATGCCCTCTTCTGGCCTCTTCAGGCATTAGGCACATATATGGTTCAGACATGCATGTAGGCAAAACACATGAAATAATTCTCTCTCTCTCTTTTTTTAAGAATTCAAATATAGGAGGGGTAGAATCAAAGTCTGAAGGGGTGTTTGTGTGTGTGTGTGTGTGTGTGTGTGTGTGTGTGTGTGTGTGTGTGTAAACTGTTATCAGCTTCAAATAATTTATTAAGATGATTTTTGTAGCTTTCATGGTAAATGCAAATACAAACCTGTAATAGATACACTGAAAATAAAAACATGCTACTAGGCAAAATCACCTCACCACAAAAGAAGACAGGAGAGGGGAGGGGACCTCCAGAGTAACTAGAAAACAATGACAACAATAAACCCTCCCATATCGATAGTTACCTTGAATACAAGAGGATTAACTTTCCAACTAAAAGACAGATGCCTGGACAGAGGACTGACTCTGGGAAATTGACCTCTGACTTCCATTCATGCTGTGGTACGGACATCCACAACATACAAGCACACAAATAAATGATATACTAAAAACCATTTTAAAAACTCATGTTAAACTATCACTTTGACTCTTGTTAGATTCTGAAATAAGGAAAAAATGGCAAAAGGTGGCAACTGTGGGGAGAAAGGGACTCTAACTATTGGTAAGAATGTACACCAGTACAGCCATTACTGAAAATGATACAGAGGCTCAAAATATTAAAAATATAACCATATGATCTAGCAACCCTACTACTGGGTACCTTTTTAAAAAAAGATTTTGAAGCATTTACATTTATTTGTGTATGCATGTGTGAGAGAGAGAGACAGGGAGACAGAGAGACTGTGAGTGAGTGTGTGTGTGTGTGTGTGTGTGTGTGTGTGTGTGTGTGTGTGTGTGTGTGTACCAGGTGTGTATTGGTGCCCTCAGAAGCCTGAAGGCTTCTGATCTCTCAGAAGGGCATCAGATCTCAGAGCTGAAGCTACAGGTGGTTGTGAACTACATCCCACAGTGCAAATATATTTTAAAACATCACACTGTAAACAATAAATACACACTTTTTTTTTCTGTCAGTTAAAAAAAAAACCCTCTGGTAGTTCTATGTTCTAGACTGACCCTGTCTCAATATGCAAGGTCGAAAATGATGGAGGAAGACTCCTTATTCAACTTCAGGCCTGTGATTGCATAGGCTCATGTGTGGCTAAAAAAACATGTGAACACATACACATGTACACCATATAAATGCAACAAATTAAATAAAAGCTGTATTAAAAATAGACATTTTTATATTGATACAGCTCAAAATATTTTTAAATCCCAGTAGATAAAAGGCAGCATCTTCAACAAGTGGTGCCAGTCAAACTGGATGGCTACATGTAGAAGAACGAAGAAGCTACAGTCTTATCTCTGACCCTACACAAAACTCAACTCCAAATGGACCAAGAACCTCACTCAGGTAAGATCTGACTGAGGAGAAAGTACAGAACACACTTCAACTAGTAACACAGGAAGGACTTTCTGAACATGACTGGGACAATACAAGCAATAAGACCAACAATTGTTAATGTCTGGAGAGATGGCTCAGTGGTTAAGAGCACTGGCTGCTTTTCCTGAGGATCCACACTCAATTCTCAGCACCCACATGGCAGCTCACAACTGTCTATAACTCCAGTTCCTGGGGATCCAATAACCTTACACAGACATGAATGCAGGCAAAACACCAATGCACATAAAATAAAACATAAATAAATCTTTACAAATTTTTTTTTAAAGAGCAACAATTGATAATTCCTTAATGAAACTAAAAAGCTTCTGTACAACAAAGGGCACCATCACATGAGTAAAGAGACTCCCAGAAAATGGGAAAATCTTCACCAGCTACACACACATCTGACAAGGAGGCCAGCATCATGTGAGTAGAGGCCTTTACAGAATGGGAAAATCTTACCAGCTATACATCTGACAAGAGGATTAGTATCTAGAATACACAAACAACTCAAAAGACTAGACATCAAGAAAACAACTAACCAATTAAAAATTTGGGTAAGAGACTAAACAGAGTTCTCAAAAGAAATACAAATATCTGGGTCCTTTGAAGAGCTGTAGTGTTCTTAACCACTGGGCCATTTCTCCAGCCCTAGATTTTCTTCTTTTAACAATTACTCATTTTATGATGATATAGGTTCCATTCCAGAAATTTTGCTTTATTTACCAAAATGCCATGTGTTTCCATCTATAATTAATGGAGTAATACTGATAGGTTCACCAATTTCACAGGGTTGGCAGCAGTCCACCAGCTTCAGTGGTTATTTATGAAACAGACTAACACACAGAATTATTACAAACCTAGGCTTTGAATAATTCAAATAGTTTATGCAAAATATTAGATTCTAAATGGAATTAGGCTATTTTAAAATAATACATTTGAATTTTAAGGACTAAAGTTATAAAAAAAATTCTAGATGCTAAGGACTAGGCACACATTTTTATATAGAAATCTATGGAGGATCAGATGCAAATGGCTATGATTATTCTTTATGCTATAACATTTTTAAAGTATACAACTGCTTATTTAAGGGGTCAAAACAAAATTCCAGGAAAGCTCAATTTAAATCATTAACATCTAATGGGTTTAGTGTTACTATCAAGCACTGTGAATGTATTTACTTCCATATCAACTGAACTGTCATGGGAACTGTGGAAGGAGTCAATGTGACTATCTGTTTCACAGTGTTATACTTGGAATCCAGCACACTCTAACCTTTAAATGCTGTTATTTGAGAAAAATCACATTAAGTACAGCTTTGCAAAGTCTCTGTTTAAGCTTTTACTCAGAACATCAAGCGTTTTCTTTGTCCTTTTCTTTCCTTTTTTTTTTTTTTTTTTTTTTTTGGTCAAAACTGACAAAAGGCCATCATCTTTTTCTTCACTGTCTGAGTCATTTCTAAAAATAAGTACCTGGCACAGATATAGAATCCTCTGCACACCAGTGACAACTGCTCTAACGATCTGAGGTCCAAGTCACTTGATACCACCCATCGGAAGATGTACATCAGGACCTCCATAGGCAGGACTGCAACAGAAAATCATCCTTCAGTGATTTCCCTTACGGTCGGTCTTAGCACATTTATGCATTCTGAGAAACCGGTACATCACAGCCTCATGCTGCTCAGACACTGGCTGAGCATACTTTAACTACCCAGCAGTAAACAATGGCTCCTACACCAATATACGGGCTTCTTTATTTTTCAGCATAGATTTGGTGCTACCTAAAGTACCATTTTCCCCTGTAAAATTATTTTATCACTGAGATATATTAAAATAGATGTAAAAAAATGATTCATATAGTTAACTGTAGAATATTCCTTTACCCTATGTGAACATATATCCTCTGATTGGTTTAACAAAAAAGCTAAATGGCCAGTAGCTAGGCAGGATTTTTCGGGGCAGAGAGAATGCTGGGAAGAAGGATGGAGTTTGAGGAGATGCCATGAGATGCAGAGCGAGCAGGATGGCATGTACATAGATGAGGTAAATGAGCCTTGGGGCAGCACATAGATTAATAGAAATAGGTTAATTTAAGTTATAAGAGCTAGCTAAAAAACAAGCCTAAGGTATTGGCCGAGCATTTATAATTAATATTGAGTTTCTGTGTGGTTATCTGAGGGCAGCTTGTGGGATAGAGCTGATTGGCGGTCCTAATGAAAAACTCCACCTACAAATGGTGCCTACCATCAGGCAATGTAGATCCACATAAAACCCAAGAAAGCTTAAAAAAAAAAAGCTTCTAGGGCTGGAGAAATGGTTCAGTGGTTAAGAGCACTGGCTGCTCTTCCAAAGGTCCTTCAATTCCCAACAACAACATGGTGGCTCACAACCATCTGTAATGTAATCTGGTGCCCTCTTCTGGCAAGCAGAACACTGTATACATAATAAATAAGTAAATCTTTAAAAAAAAAAAGGGGGGGGGGGTCTAAACACAAAAATGGAGTCCAACATGGCTTCCTGGTAACCACCTTCTCTTGGAAAGGCTCAGTGCTAGCAACAAACAAAGGCGTGGCTCCTTTAAGAGGGGGCTTCCTGGCTCCTTGGTAGCAGCAAACACAAGAGCGGCTCTTCTAAAGGCCCTGCTACTGATCACTTAAATGGGGCTCATGAGCAGCAGGCAGCACGCTACTTGGTGGCAGTGTGGACCTAAAAACTTTCCAGAGTTGAGGCGGTAAAAGTGGTTCTCCTGTACCTCCACCATGAGGCTAAGCTCTCAGGGACCTGAGGCGGGAAAAGCCAGTCACCAACACGCCATGAGCTAAGTTACACAGTGGTTTAAGTTTTGCTCAAGCAGACAAAAAAGATTACAGATACACAGTAAAGACAGATCCAGAGAAAAGAAACTTCTAAATGGGTTACAGTGTGTTTAAAAATATACATAAGCTTGAGAGAGAAAGGAAAAAGGATATATACAGTCATAGAATTTAAAAAAAAGTTTAAAATAATAAAGTCCTTAAAAAAGGAGTAAAGATAATATATATATATATATATATACACACACACACACTTATATATGCACCAAATATAGATGGGAAATACACAGAGAGTCTGGATCGTACGTGTTACTGTGTTGTCTTTGAATTTTTTGACTGTTGATAAAGGAGTGATAGCTGCTAAGAGACATTGTATTATAAAATCTGCTAGATTAAACCAACCTAGATATTTTAAAAATATCTTGACTTCAAAATGGAAATCAAAAGGTGTGTTGCTTTAGGGGAGAGTTTATGCTTTTATTTCCATAGGAAATGAGAGGCTGTGGATTCATTCCAGGTTGATATGGATCAGGTTTGATCAGGAAAGACACCCTGAAAATTCTGGCTACAGACATAAAAAAATAAACCTAGAAAAACTACAAAACATGTAACATATTTTACCTGCTCAAACATAAAACAAACAAAAAAAATCATCTTTGGCTAACTTGTGTACAACACAAAGTCTATAATTAATACAGACATGTATGTTACCTTTAAAAGTTTATGTATTTTCAAAGCAAGGAAACCAAACACCAATAAAAACAAATGAACCAGGTGATCCAGCACCTCAAAATGCCTTTGTTACAGTTTCCTCAGAGTTCTGCATCCAAAACAGCTTCAAGGCTGCTGGCTAAGACAGTTCAGCCTCACTAACTACTTCAGCCAAAACTTAACAATTATCCTGATTTTCTTAAGGTTCCCCCAAAGATGCCAGTGCCCCAGACAACAGGGAGCAGTCCACAAAAACAACACCCACATTCCCAAAACATGGGCTATGGATATTTGCAATTGTTTGGGGCGGGGGGTTGGTTATAAGTTGTTACTGGTTATAGTTAGGGGGAAAAAAACTAAACAAAAGAGTTAAATTCTAAGATCTCTTTCTAAATGAAAAAGGGGGATGTGACATAGAAAAGGGAAGATTCTTGAATCTACTTTAATCCAAAAAACAACTATTAATCTCAAAATATTTTACATTGGTATGGATTTTGGTTATTGATACAAATTTAAAGTTAATTTTGTTATAGTGCACGTATGTTTCTACTCTTGTTTGGGGCATTGTGTTTATGCAGCTCATTTAAAAATGTAATGTATAATTAAGAAATGCAGATTATTACTTAGTCATCTTTAATAAGCAAACTTGTAGTCATGTTAGTAAGTTTTCAAGGTTAAACAGATATATTTAGATAGGTGATCTTCAAACACTTCAAAGACCTACAGAATATGACATTTAATATGTTTAATAACCTAAGGCTTTTCATGATAGTGAGATACATCTGCTCCTGACAGAACCAATTTACTTCAAAAGAAGTATAGAGTTTGCTTTCTTTATGGAAAAAGCTTGCCATTTGGGCAAAAAAAAAAAAACCTGCCTTTGCCTCAATTGCTGACAGTTTACTGTCCAAACTGGACCCGCATGATGTGAAATAAAGTGACTATCAAACTTTGCAATACAAGGTAAGACAGTCCTTCAAAATTCCCTGCTTCTCAGAAAAATTTGTCAGATATAGTAGGGCTATAGGTCAAAGATGGATGCCCCAATGTTACAAAAGAACTCTGGGTGACTGTCCAGGCAGCCAGATGTCCCTGTCATTAGGTAACATTACACTCTTCTGGGGTCTTTGATGGTGTTAAAGACTAAATAATTAGACTTAAAGTTTTCCTTAGTTATGATAAAAGGTAAGTTAGATATGAAACTCTAGACTCACAAAGACAAGATAAATAATAGAATATTTTCTCTAAATTTGCCAAATATAAATTGAGTGGATATTGTAACTGTAATTCTTACTTGATAACTGTTTTTGTTATATTACATAATTTTAGTATGTTAAAATCAAAACATTTCTTTTTTATTTAGACAAAATAAAAAGAACAGTGGAATATTCCTTTACACTATGTGAATATATGTCACTGTGATTGGTTTAATAAAAAAACTAAACAACTAGTAGCTAGGCAGGATTTTTGGAGCAGATACAATGCTGGGAAGAAGGGAGGAATCTGAGGCGACATGAGAGCTAACAGAATAGGAAGTTCATAGATGAGGTAAACGAGCCTCAGGGCAGCACACAGATTAATAGAAATGGGTTAATTTAAGTTGTAAAAGCTAGCTAAAAACAAGCCTAAGCTACTGGCTGAGCATTTATAATTAATATTAAGTCTCTGTGTGGTTATTTGGGAGCAGCTGGTGGGACAGAGCTGATCAGCAGAAAAACTCTGCCTACAGTTAACACTAAAGCTATTTTCATTTAAGAAATTTTTAAACAGTTATATGAAAATGTAACTTCTGAAAACTTTGCCTTATCATGACCACTGTACACTCTGCCTGATGTGCTTATTGACACCATGTTCCTCCAGTTTCCAAAGGGCTTCAATGAAAAAAGCATGTCATCCCAAGTTCCTGCATCACCAGTTCTGTTCTTTCAGATTCTGAACAGCACAGATTTACATCTATAGCTATTTCTATTATAATTAGATCGCCTATCACATCTGGAACTAGGGCACTAATTATCTGACTTTACACCAAAGTTCAAGTGTTTCTGAGTGAAAACAACTAAAAAGCCACCCACCTGATATGTGAGTCTGACTGGTTTCAAGCTCAGGCTGACACAGTTTGAGCACAGACTCCTGAAATGTGAGCTGCTGCTGGAAGTACGACAAGAGATCTGCCACCTTGCTGTCATCCTCATTATCTTCAATGCTGAAACAAAGAGGATGTGAGTCACTGAATGCCTCAAGCCGTAAGAGCACACAGGTTAAAACCTGTTTGTTCACAGCACCTTCTAAACGTCTTTAGAAACTCACCTAAAAAACAAACTTTCTTACTAGATGTGCTAATGTGTGTCCTGCCTTGTTACAGAGCACCATACCAGTTGTTCAAACAAAAATGTTCTGGTAATTATCCAAAGAGTTAGAATTTTTTAGGTTCAGGCACTGAGATTTAATTAGTTTAATGGTAGAGATTTTATGAGTTAGTGAAAAAAATTAAACAATTTGAAAATTTTGCATAAGTTCTTTAGTGAATTTTTTTGTGTGGGGGTATTTGTCTGTATGTCTGTGCACCATGCAGAGCCCCCAGAGGTCAGAAAAGGGATTGGATCCCCTGGAACTGGTGTTACAGTTGTGAGCTGCCATGTGGATGATGGAAATTGAACCCAGGCCATCTAAAAGAACAGTCAGTGCTCTTAACCACTGAGCCACATCTCCAGCCCCTACTTAGTGATCCAAAATCCCTTCTGACTGTATGAAAAATAAAATGCAGATGCCATTTGAGTTGCTAAGTTTTCTAAAGAAATTATCTTAATCTGTCATACTACCCTAAAGAGTGAAATATCAAATCTGAACAAGTCTTACGATCTACAAATCATCTACCAACATTTACAGATGTATAGCTGCAAGGTTGTTTTAGTTTTCCATTTTGAGGAAGTTAACCTTAAAGATGATCAGAGTTACAGAAAGGCTTGCAGGAGGATGGAGTTAGGAAAACAGGAAGGGCATTTCACGATACAGAAAGCAGATATGGTTGGCTCTAGATAAACTCAAGGGCCCATCTAATAAAACTTCAACACAGGCGTGAAACCCCGTGTCAAAAAATCAAATCAAACAAAACAAAACAAAAACAAAAAACTTCAACGGGGGTGGAATTTTCCCAAAACAGAATCCTTAGAACTTCACAGATCTGGTAACACAAACTCCATGAATCTGGCAATACAAATTTGACTGAATCCTTATACAGTGCCCATAACATCTGGGTTTCTATAAACAAACACATTTTTTTCTTTCTTTCTTTCTTTCTTTCTTTCTTTCTTTCTTTCTTTCTTTCTTTCTTTCTTTCTTTCTTTTTTTTTTTTAAGTGTTTTTGTTTGTTTGTTTCTCTTTTTTGAGACAAGAGTTTCTCTGTGTAACCATCCTGGCTGTCCAGGAACTCGCTCTGTAAACCAGGCTGGCCTTAAACTCAGATCCGCCTGTCTTTGCCCCGCAAGTGCTGGGTTTAAAGGTGTGTGTACCACCACCAGGACCAGGCTGCATTTTTTTCTTAAAGCACCTAGCACATAGTTATAAAACTGACTAAGATCCATGTCTACATAACTCCATCCAAACTCAAAGATGATTTAGAAAAGCCCAAATGATTCGTTTGAGTATGAACTACTTCACACTGTTAACTCTAATTTGGTGAAGAGTATTATGAGCTGAAAAATTTAAACAGGCAATTAATACTGACTTCATTGGATGTTTATAATATGATTTATCCAACTCTTAAATGTTGATTTTTCTGTGTTAAGAAACACTGGTTCTGGGAGTAGGAAGAGGACCAGCAAGAAAGAAGGAGAAAGAACAAAGCTGAATTACACCACACGAACACACCCCAAGATGAAGCACATCACTTTGTATGCTAACTTCAAATAATTAGAAACATTGGCAATAAGCATACATACTGAAAAATGTAATTGTATTATTTCAAGACAGAACAAATAATAAAGTAGCGGATAATTCCTTAGCAAAACTCTATGTGATGGGCCAGGTGGTGGTGACACAAACCTTTAATCCCAGCACTGAGGAGGCAAAGACAAGTGGATCTCTGTGAGTTCGAGGTCAGCCTGGTCTCCCAAGTGAGTTCCAGGGCAGCCAGGGCTACACGGTAAAACCCTGTTACAAAAAGCCAAAAAACAAAACAAAACAAAACTCTATGTTTTGTGGGGAAGCACTACTAACTGAGCTATATTCCTAGGCTTGTAACGCCCATTTGAACCTGACATTTCCTCCTGGGCACAAACAACTCTGCTTTTAATGCCACCAAGTTGGGCTTTGGAGGGAAGTTAGGTCAAAACAATTTTGTAACTGTCTTGCAAAAAAGCATTGCTTTGAAATATACTCTTAATCTTTTTTCCATTTAAACCATCAATGCTTCTTCCTAACTGATGGAAGTGCTGTCAGGTACAATGAAACATCATTTCTCTCAATGCTTATACCTTGCACCTATGCTTTTAGGCAATGCTATTTGACAGGTTTGATAATACTCATCTATACACATTAAGAGAATGAGAACACTATAGTTCAGCATTTTCCTAATGAGATGCCTTTTTTTGAAATGTCAAAAAGATTAAAACACAGAGGCTTATATAATGAAGTTCTATACACCTACCACCACCTTCAAGCATTAATTAATATATTTATCAACTAGCCTAACCACATTTAGTACTTTCCACTTCAAACAGATTTCTGAAGGTTGAAATATATTCTTTAATTCATTCTTTTCAATAATCATCAATTTAATTTTAAAAACTTTCATCACATTATGTTTGTTACATCTACTTAAAATGTAGATGTAATCTTAAAATTTCTCTAATTAAATAAGTCTACTTATAAACATGGACACACTAAACACAACAGTAACAGAATAAGCATCACCTTCTTAGCAGGTTCAGAGTTAGAATGGCAAAAAGTGCTTAACTTATAAACTTTATGCATTACTATCTGTCAAATTATATACGCACTAGCTGTTTCCAATGCCATCACCATCTGGAGACCGGGTATAAGTAATCTTGAACTCAATATCAGGTACAAGTTGCATAGCCCTACGGTAGAACTTGATGGCTAAAAGAAGAGATAAGCTGAATTAGGTATGGCCACACATTTCTGTCAGTTACTCTGATTGCCCTTACCTGTGGTTGGCACACATCTTTATGAACAGCTGAATACTTCAAACATGCAACAGTAGCACACTGAACAAACATATCTCGAAACTATGCTGCTCAGGTTCCAATCCTCTCAAGGTTAACAGGTTGGGGGACTATCTTCTTATCCTTCCCATGTTTTTCCCATCCTCTCTGACTCATTAGACATGATTCTATGTGGGTGTTTCTTTATGGGACTCCATTTGTTAATGCAATTGTTACAGCTCAGAATCATTACTTCTGGATGAACTTTTCCTGTGTCACAAAGTTGAAGAAAATGAAATGCTGGATATAATCAAGAGATTTGCAATTCATCCTTCCAATCCAATTTCCTTTACCCCAGTGTGCCCTTACTCAGCTAAATAAACTTTAAATATTACTTTTATTTGAAATATTTTATTTCTACTTTTTAGAGCTTATACATATAACATTTCCTCCTTCCCTTTTCTTTCCTTTCCTTCCTCCAAACCTCACATATACCCCTCCTTGTTCTGTTTCAAATTCATGGCCTCTTTCTTTTAATTAATTGTTAACATACATAGAGATATGTGCATGTAGATACATATATATTCCTACATATAACCTGCTCAGGCTGTATGTTACCTGTGTGTATGTTTTCAGGGTTGACACTTGGTGTTGGTGTACTCCAATCTGGGGATGACTTTTCTTTTATTCTCAGAATACCTTAGTTTCCTGTAGCTTTGTGTAGGGTTGAGGCCTCCTGGGCTTTCCCCCATTTTATTTTTTATTTCTATATATGTGTAGGTGCCCAAGAGGACAGAAGAGGGTGTTAGATCCCCTGGTGCTGGAGTTACAGAAGTTGTGAGCACCGCTGAGCATCTCTCTACACTAATAAAACTCATTATTTTTGTTGTTTTATTTTTTTTTCCTTTGAGACAGGGTCTTGTTTCCCTGGTTGGCCCTGTATACTCAGTATATAGCTGATATTGGCCTCAAACTTGTGGCAACCCTCCTGCCTCAGCCCTCCAAGCACTGGGATTACAGTATGCACTACTATGCCCGGCTTAAATCCTGCTTTTCATAACTCCTGTGGGTAAGCAGTTTATAGAGATGTGGCATTCCCCCTCTCTCCCCACGGGAATCTGGAACCCAAGAAGCTGATTAGCTCTTTTCCTTTGGGATGAAGTTCATTCAATTTGCTATATTCTGTAATGTTTCCACACTCTGAGTCTAGTACTATATGTTAAGTACAGGGTGAAGCCTCACAAACTAATGCAGACTACATAAGGGACTTGACCAGTTAGATACTCAAAATATGGATAAAAATATCAGTAGAAAAAATTTCCAAATAAATACAGTAACTTCAAATGATGTTATTTTCCATGTGTTTTCAAAGAACTTAATCTCAAACATTTTTTTCATGCCCCAATTACTATCATTACCACCAAAAAAAACTTAATATGGAAAGGATCACTCTGCTTATGTGTACATTATCTACCCTGCTCCTTGCTGGAGATAGAACCTAGGTCATGCATTACACACAGCAGGTGAGGATTCCACCACTGAGCTACCTCTCCATTTTACTAATGCATTTCTGTAGGGTTTGTAGAGACAAAAGCTGTAGCACCTGCCTTTGGTAAAATGTAAAGTTAAGCTTAGAAAGACCAACTACGTGTTCTTTGATTTCATCCTTTGTATTTCATGAATCCAAAATATTTTCACACATGAAAAGAACACAATATGATTTTTATTTTATTAATGAATAACTAATACAAAACTAAATATAGAAAATTTATTTTACTCATCCTACAAATATGATAATATTGCCCTGCAATGTATTTTGGAAACAAATTATATATAATTCATTTATTTTAACTAATTATTTTTATGAAAAGGGGTCTTTACTATGTAACTCTGGCTGGCCTGGAACTCTTCATGTAGACCAGGTTGGCCTCAAACCTTCAAGGATCTTCCAGCCACAGGAATGACTGCTGTACCTAGTCTAATTTTTGTTTTTAACTTAAAATATAATTTCAAGTAGAAGGAGGAGAATGTTCTATACTCAATAAATTCCATCACAAGAAAACGCGGATCACTAATGAGCTACAATTCATAAGTAGGGTTTTACCTTCATAGAGAGCTCCGTTTTGTTCTTCTTCTACTGCCTTCAGGAAGAGTTCTCGAGCCTGTGAAATAAAAAGGTGAAAAAAAAAATTTTTTTTTGAAAATCTGTATGGTAAGTAGACAAACTGGTATGGTGGCACAAGACCTCAATCCCAGCACTTGAGAGGCAGAGGCAGCAGGATCATCCTTATGTGAGGTCAAACTGGGTTTCATGAATCCCTATACAAAAATAAATAAGTAAATAGAAAGTACATTTATAGTAGAAAGACAGCATTTTCAAACGATGCTGTAAAAACTATATATCCAAAGCAAAACAATGGATTTGGCCTAAGCCTCACAGCTTACATAAAAATAACTCAAAATGGATTATGAACTCAAAAGCAAAATACAAAACTATTGAAAAAAAACTTCAGGGAAACGAAAAATATCTTGGGGTCATAGGTGGCTCTTCTACGTGAACGACACAAAAAACTATGAATCATAAAAAGAAAGGCTAACATACTGCCTCGTAAAGACTCCTGCTCTGAGGGGCACCCTGCTAGGATGCGGTGACATGAAGATGACAGCCCCCATGTAAGAGGACAGCGACAGGGTCAGGCAAGCAGCTAGCATGCAGAGTATATCCAGTGTGAACAGCTACAAACTGTCCAGATACGGAGATGACTGACATAACATGACAACATGTTCAGTTTAAAATATAACAAAACACCCAATTACAGCTCCCAAAGAGCCAGGAGCCCAGCGCCAAGTGAGACGAGCTAAGGCATAGGCAGCTGAGGCAGGGGGATCACGGGAAGTTCTAGGCCACTCGGGCCTACACAGTGAGTTCCAGGCCACCTGGACTATAGAATGAGAACCTGTCTCAAGACAAACACAAAAAACCCAACCAACCAAAGATCCTTTGAAAAGGCAAGAGTATTTAGAAATTTCCACTTCTGCCTTTTTGGGCTTCTGTTGTAAATTCCAGACATCCATTTTTTAAGAGACTAGGTGACTCTTAAGAGGCAATAAATTAACACAAACATTACACGCAAATGGTAGGTGACAGAAAAAAGGCTGTATTAGTTACTGTGATAAAATGCCATGACCAAGGCAGCTTAGAAAAGAAAAGCTTTATTTGGGCTCATGGTTCCAGAGGTTTGAGGTCCACGGGGGTAGGGGGTGGGGATGGGGGATGGAGTGAAGGCATGCTGCAAGAACAGGAAGCTGAGGGCTCACATATAACGCCAAGCATGAAGCAAACTTGAATGGCTGAGTCTTGAAACTCTCAAAGCCCCCTCCAGTGACATGCTGTCTCCAACATCTCCCCAAACAGTGTCACTAGGGACCACGCACTCAAACGCCCAAGGCTACTGGGGACATATCATTACATCACAACCAAGCCCATAGTAATAACACCACCCCAGACAGTTAGAAGTTGTAAAGAATAGGTAAGCAGGAATACTGGTTAAAAAATTTTCCACATCAGAAAAACATTATTTTCCTTCACAAACACATCTCTATCAACAGAGTTGACTAATGATGAATCATGCCAGTGAAAAATCTCTATGTGCTGCAAAAGAGAGTGAATTTGTTAGAGCATTTCAGCACTTAACTTTTCTTCCTTTGCCAGCTCCTGCCTTCCTTTGGTGTCTGCAGCTGCTTTCAGTATGGAGCCTCTTCCTGACCTGCAAGGCCGAGTGTCTAGATTACTGGAACCCACACCTGGGGCAAGTTCAAACATCCACTGAGCTCTGAACATCTGGAGCTGTGCCTGTAACAAAAGGATATTTGAGGACCCATCAAGAGCAGGTAGTGCATCTCTGGAGTGACTTAGCAATATGCCCAGAATCTACTTCAATGTACATTCTTGTAATTCTAAGGCCAGAAAACAGTCACTCTCTTCTTAACGAAATACCTGATAAACGTACTTAAAAAAAAATCATTTTCTGCATTAAACTTTAAGGAATAAATATTAGTTGAAAGTAAGTCTGTCTATACAATAAAAAGCCTAAAAATACTGGAGGATTAAATTGTAGTCAGAATTGAAAATATAAGCCCTGAATTAGGGGCTGAATTTACATGGTGCTGAACAATTGTGAATAATGCACAGCTAGTAGATATTACAAAGCTCCTAAAAACTTCTATGTCAGCCCAAAGTCCTTCTCTTTTAGTAAACATTCTCTACTCCAAAAAGGAAATCCTTCTAAACACAGATCATTTAAATATAAAACACAGAAAAAGTCAAGCCCTTTAAGGAAGAAATTGTTACTCCAACTTCTGAAAACAGCCAAGTTATCATCCCAGCTGGGTACTGCCTCAGCAGGGTCACACTGCCTTTGGGCTTCCCACGTAATGACCTGGCTCCTGGTGAGGGCAATCTATCCTCAGAAGCCCACAGGACCAGCTCAGGCAGTCCACTAAGACTGCACTACAGCCGGGCTTCCTCCTCTTCTGTCTCCCTCGCCCAGCCTCCCTCGCAAGGTTCTGACTCTTAGGTGCCCTGAAGAGCAATCTCTATTCTGCTTTCCCCCTGAGAGCTCAAACCAATAAACTTCTCCTCCAGAAGAGAGCCACTTCTACCAGAATCGTGTCTATTATTTCTGGCTAACTTTTTGAAAAGGTGACTTACAAATGTTCTAAAAATGTTCTGTACAGGGCTCTGGTTCCCACACTCTTCTAACATGTTACAGTTATACCTGACCTGCAGAATCTTTAGCTGCATTCATTATTTACTAAATGAAATGTACCAAATAAACAAGTATTATAATACCTAGAAGTTCAATAATTAGTTTAATTACAGTAATTTTGAGTTTAATACAAAAGATTTATCTCATCCTTGTAAATGGCTATAGTGTATTTCAGATTATGGTAGCACCATTCCTTAGAACAAGTAATGGATATTTAGGTCATGTGAAACTTTACCATATATGTTGTAATGCTATGACAGGAATCTTTGAACCATCATATTTACTCATTTTCCCTATTATTTCCTTAGATTTAATCTCCTGGAGAATTGTTGCATCAAAAGGGAATGCATACTTTTAATTTTGATACACATTGCTTGTGTACCCTCCAGAAAAATAATGGCCGTTTATAATCTCAAGTGGAATGTGTAAGTGTTTTCACAGTCCAGACAGAATTGGACATTATTCCATAAACCAGTTAAATTATTAATGAGGCTTATTATGTCTTCAAATATTTAACAGCCATTCATATTTTTCCATTAACTGTCCCATTCACCTTTCCTGTCTTTTGTTCCTCTGATTTATGCACATAATCTATACACTGAGGATTCTAAACCTTTGTCCACAAGGCAAACAGTTGTTCTAGTGATTTCTTTCAACTTTACCATGCCTTTTGTTATGCACAGACTTTAAACTCTTAAGTGATCAATCTTGTTATTTAAGGTTATGAGTTTTGAGGCATGCTCATGTATTATTTTGAACACTTTAAACCTACATTCTGGGGAGCAAAGCAATAGTTCAGTGGGTAAAAGCACTTGCTGCTAAGCCTAAGGACCCAAGAAGCCTAATGACGCGAGTTCTATCCCTGAGACCCATGTGGTGGAAGGAAAGAAATGACTCCCACAAATTATCCTCTGACCTCCACATGGGCACACACATGCACACACAAATAAATAAAAGTAATAAAAAAAATTGTAAATTACATATTGAACTCCAAAGCTGTGGTTATTGATATCTATGTTTACAGCAAAGGTATGGTTTAAGTATGCTATAAAAAATATGAAAGTCCAAGCCAGGCAGACACTGGTAGTTCATGCCTTTAATCAATCCCAGCACTTGGGGGCAGAGGCAGATCTCTGAGTTAGAAGTCATCCTGGTCTATAGAGAAAGTTCCAGGATAGCCAAGGCTACATACAAAAAGCAAACAAACAGAGAATAGGAAAGTCCAGCTAAATTCCATGCAAAGAGCTGACAAACGCTCCCCACCCGGACCAGCAGTCAACAGAACTGAAGACACACACCTGCAGGTCTCTCTCAGCAGGACTCTCCTTTTCATCATCACCCACTCTGACAGCATCAGAATGACAATCTTCCTCCGCTTCTGCCTGAGGAGAACAAACCAGAACAATGTCAGAAACGCAAACACGAGTTTCCCTTTGTGATCTACTCAACTGTTCACTAATTGTTAACAACTGTTAACTAGTACCACACCTTTGAGTTTGTGGAACCCACTTTGAATATCAAGGCTGTACAATGCACTTAGGACCCTGCTATTTATTTCCAAAGGAAAATCAGTCTGAAAAGCATATTCTCTACTCTAAGCCACAGGAGTGTTAGTATCACCATGAATCTTAAAATTTTGTTCCCAAAAGTGTAATATCAATTCCACTCATCCAAAAGTCCTTTTGAGCTGGGCAGTGGTGGTGGTGCACACCTTTAATCCCAGCACTCAGGAGGCAGAGGCAGACAGAAAGGATCTCTGTGAATTCGAGGCCAGCTGGTCTACATAGTGAGTTCCAGGACTGCCAGGGCTACACAGAGAAACCCTGTCTTGAAACAAACAAACAAACAAACAAGTCATTTTGAATCTAGAATTTGCTATCAGTAAATGTTTCTTTGGCCTCTTATTTTCTATAAATTGTGCCTGGATCTAGGAGAGGAAATAGAATCAAGTCTGGTAAGTTGGCACCGCTCTCTGAAGACCACCCCACAAGTAATGCGTTTTCCAGCAGGAACCCAAGTGTCCTGAAATGCAGTCATAAGTCCTATCACCAGTGTTCCAAATACAATTATTTCAGCATAACTAAAAGCAAAAACTTTCCAAAACAATTCTGTGTTCACAAAGCTCAGCACGTTATAGAGGCTGTGATGTTTCGTGCCAACGAAATACAATTGCTTCTCTCTAGATGATCTACTTTGGTAAGTTTAAATGATACCAATGAAAGAAAATTTGTACTTCAACTCTTGTAATACTGTAAAATCAACTCCACTAGGCTTCAGATTTGGAGTTGGAGATGGCTCAGCAGTTAAGAGCATTCTGCACTTCCAGATGACCCAGGTTCCGTTCCCAGGACCCACAGGGTGACTGACATACATTCAGGGTATCGAACTTCAGAGGGCATGGTATCTCAGCCAGGCATGGTATCACATGCCTTTAATCTCCAGACTCAGGAGAAAGAGGCAGGCAGTCTCCTTGAGTTCAAGGTCAGCCTGGTGACATACTGAGTTAAAGGCCAGTGAAAGAGTATACAGTGAGACCTTGTCTTTAAAAGGAAGGGAGGAAGGGAGGGAGGGAGGGAGGGAGGGAGGGAGGGAGGGAGGGAAGGCAGGCAGGCAGGCAGGCAGGCAGGCAGGCAGGCGGGGAAGCCCGTCTCTTTTTTTAGTGCTGAGGAACTGAGTCCAGAGCCTTGCACATGGTAAACAAGTACTCTACCACTGAGCCACTGAGCTGTATCCCAACCAAAGCAACCTCTTCTATTTTATCTCTATTAGAAACTCAATCTTTCACATTGGAGTGGCTGCAAGTAGAATAAAGGTGGACTGGATTCTAGTATGTAGCTTTGGGCCTAATAAATGTTTCTGTTTACTATTTCCACTGTATCCTTTTAGTTTCAGTAAATTAAATGACTAAAATGAATCCTACTTCCCAGGAAAATGAAGTATTGCCTCAGTCCAGTCTGTTAGCTAATAACTTATCAGCAAGGGGAACTTGCTCAACACTCAACGTGAGCAGCCCTACACAGAAATGTGGTAATGTGGGAAAGGACACTGAAGGTTAGCTAGGGATAATACCAAAACCAATGTTGTTGTCTCTAGTATCCACACACACATGCAGAGGGGAGTATGCACAGTTTCATACACACATGCCACCCCCGAAAAGGAAGAAAAGCCAAAAAAAAAAAAAAAAAGCAATTCCATGTAGTTCCAAAGACAGCACATTTTAACTGTAAGTTATTTCCAGGAGAGAAAAGGTTTTATTACCATAGATCTTTGAACAGAGCAACCAGACACATTTGCACCACAAACAGTATAACATAAACAAGCTCTGCTCACACCTTATCTCAAGCAACCAGACTCAAAGCAGGGGCCAGTAACACTTGACTAGCCGGTACAGCGTGAAATGCTTGGTGCTCTGTAAAGGTTACATCAGTGAAGACATAAACGAAAGAAGCATTTGTTCTAAGTCTGGACCTTGGGTTTGGATAAAAGGGCTTGGACAGCTGTCCCCCAAAAGGTCCATGTGTAAAAGGCATGGTCCTTAGGTTGGCACTCCTGGACATTGAAAGAACCTGTAGGATCTGGCCTAGTGCTTGAGTCATAGGGGGCAAATCCTTGAAACAGACTGTGGGACCTCTTTCTTTTCTGTGTCCTGGCTCATGAGGTGGACAGTTTCCTCATTTACGTGTTCCTGCCAGGATGTGCTGCTTCATCAGAAGCTCGAAGCAATGGAACCACTTGGATCCCAGAATTGATCCTCTAGAACCTTTATAAATGAATTCTTTATAAATGATCACAGGTATTCTGTTGTAATAAGAAGCTGATCTCCTAGGAAATACATCAGGGACTCTGAAATGCATGGATCCCACAGAGAAGCATATTTCTCTTTTTTAAGAGTCGATTTTTCACTGCAAACCCTAAGCATAGCTAATAAGAGAGGACCCGAGTCCAGCAGAATATCCTTTTAGTAGGACAGCCTTCTAGCTATTGCCTGGCAGTCAGACTAAGCTAACTTGATCTGAAGAGCTTTTCCTGCTCACACCAGGGTGCTGCTTGCTCTCTGGACCTGGACTACCATTTCCCTCACTTAGACGCTCCGACTTATCTTCAAGATTCAGGTGAAGGTTCATCTTGGCAGCTTTTCCCAATTCTCTTTTTGTTACCTTAATTCTGTATTGAAATGATTTGTTTCCTTCAGTGGAATGAGTATACTGAAGGCAGAGAACACATCTTGGTCACCTTTGCTACCTTTAGGATCAAACACATTCCATGATGCTTGGTAAAACACCAGCCTAGTGAGCTTTTGTTCCTTGAAGCAAGGCCTCATTCTATACAGCCTAGGCTGTACAGTGGTCCCAGTGGTTTTCCTCCCTGGGACGCCTGAATGCTAGGAAGAATGGAAGTGTGAGACATAAGATATACGCAACCACACTATGATCTCTTCCTTTCTGTGGAGCTGGAGAGATGGCTCAGCAGTTGAAGACTTGATATTCTTCCAGGGGACCTGAGTTTGGTTACCAACACCCATGTCCAAGCAGCACACAGCATCTCCAAGGGATTGGAACCCTCTTCTGGCCTCTGTGGGCACCTGCACATACATGACATCCTGTCTCAGATAGGGTTACTATTGCTATGATGAAATGCCATGACCAAAAGCAACTTGCAGAGGAAATGGTTTATTTGGCTTACACTTCCACTGTTTATCATCGAAGAAAATCAGGACAGGTATTCAAACAGGGCAAGAGGCAGGAGCTGATACAGAGGCTGAAGAGGGGTGCTGCTTACTGGCTTATTCCTCAGGGCTTGCTCAGTCTGCTTTCTTATAGAACCCAGGACCACCAGCCAAGAGATGGCACCACCCACAACAGGGGATCTTATGAAAGCATTTTCTCAATTGGGGCTCCCTGCTCTCAGGTAACTCTAGCCTGTGTCAAGTTGACGTAAAACTATTCAGCACACATACACTCATACTCATTCACACACACAAATTTAAAAACAATTTAATTTAAGAAGAGAGAGATCTATAAAGAAAATTGGTTATTTCTGGGTCATCTTTTCAGATATGACATTCCATGATTAAAAGTTTATCATAGATCACACTGTATAGGTTTGGTAACACTGAAGATCTGGTACTGTACCAAAATCCACACCATGCCACACTAGTAACAGGCTCAAAAAAAAAAAAAAAAGTTGAATACAGAATGCCTATCTCAAAGATAAGAAAATAGGAAACCTGTAATAAGACAGGCTTTTCCCTGAGTTTCTGTATTATAACAGAATCCACTGTTAACCTGATTTTTGATAGTATGATCTGGGATTTTACTACATTTGGTCAATTTCAGTGCCACTTGAAATAAATAGGCGTTTAAGAAATTTTCACTTTTTTCATAATTGAAAATTACTCAAGCATCATTGTATATTTGAGTAAGTTTCCTCACAGATGGTATTAATTAAATACGAAGGTTAAGGGCTTAATCTTGGTCAGAGAACTACTTTTCAAAGTTTAGAAGAATAATCAATTAGTGCGTTTTCTGTGCGCCAGGTTAGCTGCACAAAATAAATCGTTTCGGCCAATTCACTTCAGGACCGACAACCACTTGAGTGTTCTAGTCAGTCTGGTATCTTTCATTCTCAATTCATTCAGCCCTAGCCGGAGATGAGTTTCTTGGTCACTGCAGAGACGGGATATTCCATGCAACAGTCCCGTTGAGACCTGAGCTGTCTGTCACACATGATGGGGCTTAGCGCAGTCTCTCCACCTGCACACAGAGAAGTGGCTTAGGCCGCGGCTACCACGAAATTAGACCCGGAGGGAGCCCTCCAAGTCTGCCAGGACTGTCGGCCACTATCATCACACCCGGGCACTGAAGTCACGGGGGGCGTGCGTCCGGAACTCGGGGCTCCCGAAGACGCAGAGAGCGTCTGTGGGCCCGGCTGCCAGAAGAGGAGCAATCAACAAGTGTCTCCGCTGGCCAGGGCCACCTCCCTCGTGCAGAGACCAGGAGCGCTCGCCTCAGACCCCACTCCCTGCGCGCACAGCCTGGAGCCGCCGGAGCCGGCCTTATCCTCCCCGTCCCGACGGCCCGGCCCTCGCTGCCCGCTCGCGCTGCCCCCCCCCCTCCACCTCCCGCGGTTACCATGCTGGCGGCCGGCCGGCCGGCTTCGTCGAGGGGCTCCCCGCGCCCGGCTCCCGGAGGAGGGCTGGCGGCTGCCCGGTGTCTACTCCTGCCCGTCTGCTGCAGCGGGGCTTAGCAGAGTTCTCGGTCGGAGAAGCGCACCAGGCAGCGGCAGTAACTGCGGGCCCGGCGTACGGCAGCCATCTTCGCGGGACAGGGGGCCCGGGGCAGGCGCGCTGCGGCGGCGGCCGGGGACTCGAGCTGCGGAGGGG